CATAATTAGCAGATTTTTTTTCAACATATTTCAAGTTGAAAAAGTTTTTCATGCCACTAAACACATGACATCTAAACGTTACATTACTGTATCTATTTAACTGAAACAAAAATGTTTCTTTTCTCTGTCTTTTCTCGGAGCAGGAAACGACTGTTATTATTTACTTTATAATCTCTAATTGTTCATAATCTCATAGCGTGATGCTCTTCTTTTTAATATCTTGCAGATCACTACTTGATAACATGCAATGTTCTATGAAAAAAAAAGTTTTGAAATTTAGATAAAGAAAAAGGAAATATAGAACAACAAAATTTTTTGTGCAATATTAAGGGTGGAATGATGGAAATTTTTTCCAAAAAGTTTTTCTACTTTTTTTTTCATAATTCTTCTTTATAATCGTTTATGTCAATAGTATCACGGATATGGGACAAGTTAAGTCTGATATTCATTGTACTTTTTCCCTCAGGCAAGGAAAACACTTGTATAATTTGATGACGATATAAAAAAATCAAATGAAGTGAAAAAAATGGAGAATCTCTGCACGACATATTCATTTGAGCTTCTATATGATAATTTCAGCTAGATGAACTCTATAATTTGGAAGAATCGAAAGAAAACGAGATCTGTTTTTTCCAAACATAGATAGAAAGAGAAAATTTATGCGTATCTATTATATTGAGAGAATAAGTATTATTTTTCTCTTTCTTCTGTATAGAAAAATGATGAAAATCATCTTGACTTGTTTATTCGCCTTCATGATTTGATGCTGATTAGACAATGTTCAAAAAATCAACACGAGACCTAGAGCACTTTGAACTTTTGTTGTTGTCACATATCTATCAGAAACAATGAAGTTATTAGTAAATGAAGGTGTTATCAATTATTCTCATTGTATCTCATCAGTTTTTAGTATTATTTGAACAAACAACGTAGTAAAGATAAACTGGTAAGTACGATTATATGACATTTATATAACATTTCAGATCATAGCAACATAAATTACTGCAAAAATATTCTCTTCTACACCGAAATAGATAGGATTAAACACAAACAGAATCCAACATTAAAACACCATGAAACTTGTCATTATTTTTCTGAATTTTCTCGTGAAACTATTATGTCATGAAATCGTTTCTTTATAATCCTATTTTAATGTATTATGCTTTTCTCGTCAGAAATTATGAATTTCTTACGAAACTCTTATAAGATTCTTATAAGATACTTACGACTACCGATGGGAAATCCTAAACAATCGTATGTAAGAAACTGATAAGATTCCGATAAGAATCTTGTAAGATACTAGTAAGAGACTTAGACGTTTCTGATAAAATTCTTATATAAGAATCGATGTCTAGGGTAAACCGTATGATATCTTAAGATTTTTTTTACATTCCTAGTAGAACCCACACATAATTTCCACAGTAATCTGCGAGATATATACCTTAAGTTTATAATAAATTCTAATGCTAAGGTTGAGTATAAGTCAGATCATATAAGGACTCTTCATATCTTGTCAAATAACTGGAGTATTTTGAATGCTCACAGCGATTAGCCGCTAATTCTCTTGATTGAAGAAAGCTAAAAAACATTGTTCATGTTTATCCACTGCACATTAACGCCCCTAAATTCACAGGTACCTAAGAACTAACGCAAGAAGTATCAGAATTTTTGAAACCTTAAGATAATTGGGTGTAAACAAAATGTGACTTTTAGGTATGATTCTATTGTTAGAAATATATTGTGAGATATGTTAAAGAAAAGTGCAATATCGAATGGTCAATAATCATTTTATTTTTATGGCGTAGGCTTCAACTATTTTCAACGGATTAGCCATTCCAAGTTTCTCTGTTTAGATATAATAAAAGAATTACTTTTAGAATCAAATGGAATGCTTAAACCGTTGAAAAACAGTTGAAGCCTACACCATAAAAATAAAATGATTATTGGGGAAATACTAAGATTGCAATTTATTATGGACCATTCGATACATAATCGAACTCCCCGAACTCAAGTAACGATACGTGATCATCACTAATATATCGTGTATCACCTGACTATAACCTTAGAAAGAGTGTTAGAACCCAAGAATTAATTAATTACTAGAGCTTTTTCAGTATAGTGTTATATATAGCAAGTCAAAAATTAATTAACTATAAAGCTCCATATCGACAGAATGTGTCATTCTTTGAAGTTTTTTGTCCTGAGCTAAGTTCTCATAGTCAGCTTTTTCTGGTGAAACTTCCTTTATTCAAGAGCTTCAGAACAGAAATCTTAAGATCTTGAGTGAATTGAGTCAAGATGTTCCAGAGTATCGTGATGAAAAATTTTTACACCTTTCTTATACGAAATGAAATTTCTTTAATTTCTTACCGTGATCTTGGGTCAAGCTCTTGCTGAAAAAATTCAAGAAATCAAGATTCTAGTTACAAGAAGTTTCATCAGGGTTGCATTTAAACTTCTACAAATACTCATTTTATAACATCTATATACGTTGAGTACATTTTTTTCTAGTAAAGGAATTGACAGTGCTCTTATGCGACTCTAACAATACCCAAACGTCAAAATCATTTTTAGAACTTTTGTTCTGCACTTAACACAAGAAACCTTTTTTCCGAAGTTGGCAGAAATCCAAAACTTCTATAGCCCGAAAATTGAAAGACGTAAAGAAGAACGTTATGTGTTTCAAAGAAACTGCGCCACACTCTTTGTCTACTAGCGAAAGCAGCTATTAAGTTAAGAATACCCTGAAACTCATAGATGTCGCCCTCGGTTGAAGTAATATATGAAATGAGCAGAAATCTGACTTAATGTCCAACTTCGAACTACAAACTATTTTACATGATTAGAAATTACAAACAAAATGCTGTATATTATTTAGAATAGAGGCTTTTCACTCTGTTCTGATTGGTGCGTAGTAACAGGCATTCCATATCGATGACATCATCGTTTTTTTATGTTTTACATACATAATCTGATTCAGATACTTGTTAAGAACAATACTTTGGTAAACTACATCACAAACCGGTTTTCCACCTACTCGCAAGAGCAGCATTTATTCATTTTTCGTTTACGTGCAGTACAATAATTCTTTTTGAATTATCGATCTTTTTTTCGTTCATCTTATTTCTTTCAATTTCTTGTTATCATTCCCTATTTTATTATTATGTTTACGCTACTAATTTTGTGAACACTAAAATTACGTAATAATGATCACAAGGACTGTTTCATGGTAAAGTTTAAACATCGTTCGGTTGTTCAGAAGCATACGAGATAATTTTTCTCAAACCGGACTCCACTAACTTCTTGTTTTTGTTCTGTCGGTGTTTAGATGGGATGAGCGAAAAGAAACATTTACTTGTCGAAATAATGCATAACGATTATAACGCAGTTAGAACAACTTCAAGTAAGTTTTGGAGTTTTATTCATGTCTATGAGTGAAAGGATGGAGGAAAGGGAGACAATGAATTAAAGACGTTTGTGTCCAAATCGGTGTTTTTAATAGAATTTTTTATCATAATGGATTTTTCTACTGTAGAATCAAAGATATGGTAAAAATTTTACAGTTAGAATTTTTGCAGTTTAATCAACGTTCACTTCACAATCACATTTACAGTTAGAAACATAGTAAAAATTATAGAGGAATACAATGTCAGGACTTCTTGTTTACTATGCTATTAAAAACACTGGTCAACAAAATCGTCTAATACTTTCATATTACCCTTTTTGCATGTCAGCTTAACTAAAAGGCTTCTAAGGGGAAAGAAAGGACAAAATGCGTCACGTTTGAATGAATAATTGTAAATTCTGACCTTTTTGCTATTTTTTTGTCTTGTTCTTTTGAAATAGTAATCATAATCTGGGTTAATATATCATTTTGTCTATCTGGTAATAGAAAAAAAAAAAATGTATCAAAACGCATATACATTTTTAAAAAGTTAGTGGACATTTTTTTAAAAATATTATGTACAATTACAGATACAGATGATAAATGTGGGATTGCTTTTACGAAGGAAACCGCATACTAGTAGACGAAACAAATTATATCTAATAAGAACTGTTTCACACAAATTATTCCACCTTTTCCGAGCAGTGATGTTTGCGACTTTACGAAAATATTCAAATTATAAAGGTGTGTTTGTGAATTGTCATAGTGAGATGAAATATGACATTAAATCTAAGTACAGGAATACTGAAGATATTCCAAACGGATACAGGTAAAATTAAAAAAGTTGAACAGATGTTCTGTTGTTTATTAGATGCTCTTTTTGTTTCACTCATTTTGAAAGAGAAGGATCTGTCGTCTACAATGGTAACAAAAGAAATCTCCAATCTACTAAAACTTTAATCAAGAGATAACATTTGCCATTAGTTACTCAAATTCTCTGTAATACATAGAATTACAGAAGAACAAGGATTAATTGCTAAACTTACATGATTCTACTGTATCGATGACGATCGATGATATAAAAATCGTATAAAGTTCTATGAAATTGTAGAAAAAGTTTGATACTCTCTTCCACTTTTTAAATGTCTTCATTCGACGATGATATTTCTAGTAGAAGGGGCGTTCGATCATTGAAAAAAGTTTGCTCTTTTAAATAATACAGATTTTTTTTCTTTTATTCTTCTTCGTGTTTCAGGTTCTGAATCATCAGGTAATGGAAAAAAAGCAGAGAAAAGACAAAAATAAAAAAATAACACGAACAAAGTTCTTGACATTGATGCGTGTACTTATATAGGTAGAAAAAGAAAAAAAAAGAAGGATGCAAAGAGAAAAGGAAGTCTATTAAGGAATCTTTTTTTTTAAATTAATAAAATAGAATACAGACATGAGTGTGTGTATATTGATGGAAAAATAAGAAATCGAATGATGATAATGTTTATTTAAATACATTGAGCGGCTATATTGCATTGCATGAAATTTTTTTTTAAACTGCTGCTACTACTATTCAACAGCTGCATGCGTATCTCTCATTATTGTCTCTTATAGATCTAAAATTATGTTTGTTACAGGAGAACACCCTTTCCTTCCTGTGAATCCATTCGCTCAACCCATTATTCATAGTACAACAACATCACCTACGAGCAATAATTCACATTATCCTCAAGATGAGGATATGGTCGATATTACAAATGATATCACAATTAATAAACATAACGGAACGTCAGAGACAAATAAACCAAATGGTATAACGTTAAAATTATATAAATAGAATACCCTAGAGGCGAATTACTTCTTTTCACTAGAATAACTACATCTATTTGCAACTTCCTTCCTCTTCTTCAACGGATAATATTCATTTTTTTTAAATGTGTAGTCTACCCTTTTAATTAATAAATAATTTTCGTCTTATTGTAGGTCTAATGTCTGGCGTTGATATTATTAGCACCCATTACGATGATTTTCAAACAATTGATTGGTTAAAAGATTTGATGCGCGATCGCTTTCGTCATCGTATGTTAAGATCAAAACGTCGTGAATCATTTTTAAGAAAATTATTGATGTATCATGATGCATGGTCAGGATGGCTTTGTGTACTCCTTGTTGGACTATCAGCAGGTGTTATTGCTGCTGTAATTGATATTGGAACAAATTGGATCATTCATTTGAGAAATGGAATATGTTTGAATGCATTTTGGTTAAATCGTGAACAATGTTGTTGGGCATCGAAAAAATTAAACTATGACCGTTTTAATACAGAAGAATGCGGAGAAGTATGTAGTCTTACACCTTTTTCTTTTCCTGATTTGGTCTTTTTTTCTGGTCTTGAGTCCTTCTAGTTTTTTTTTTTTTTTTTTGCTGCATCATTGTCGTTCGTTCTTTTCGTTCTTACTGTACTAAATGCATTTTTCGTGTTTATTTACTAATGCAGCACTTTTGCGACACCTTTTCGAGAGATGTAGTATAACAGATTTTTAGATTCCCTACTGGCAATATTGTTGTTTTTTCTATATATCTTTCTTTGATATTATAAAATATATCATCCTATTAAGAAAAACCAGAAGAACTAGGACATTATTTTTTGTAATGAGCATAGTTTTTGACGGTGTATGTCTCTAGTTACATCTCAATACATAGTTTGAATAGATATTCTATAATGGGAAATGTTTAACAACATTACAGTAATCAAGAACTGCACATCTCACCTCATACTTTTACAAATTCAGAAAGAAGCCAGTCGACTACTTGGATAATGTTTCTGTTTTATTTTTTAGAATATTCTGTTTGTTTTTAGTATTTTGCGACGATTTTTCTCGTTTTTTTATTCATGCATTTTTCTAATATTTGTAACATGAAGCAAGGAGCAAACATATCTTTATTCGTTTTGGTAGTTCACTTTACTGCTTTTTCGTGTTTAAATGATTATCACTAAATCCTTTCTGCAAGTTAGTTAATCTTAATATATTTGGGCTGATGCTTTAATATGTACCAGATCTCTTCTGATATAAGGGATACAATTCAGTTCTGTCATATTCTATTATCAGCTATTTCTATTTGTGCTCGCCTGTGTCGAGTTTCCTTGTTTTTTCTTACTTTCTTTGTAAAATAGTTTGAATATATTGATTGCATTTTTATGTCCAAATAATTAGTTCACTATAATACAGATATCATTTTTTTTAAACACTTAGTGATTTAATCAACATCGCGTATTCCTCTTCTCCTTTTCTTTCATAAATTCTTTAATGAACTACTTTTTCTTTACCATAGGAAGAAAGTAGCTATTATTCTTTTGTTTAGAAGAGTAGTCATGACTAACTATGCTATATTTCCTTTTAGTGGTTTACATGGCCTCAAGTATTTGGTGATTATCGTACGGGTGCATTTGAATATATTTTATCATATTTTATGTTCATATTATGGAGTGTGATATTTGCAACATTTGCCGTTTTATTAGTTAAAGTATTTGCACCTTATGCGTGTGGAAGTGGAATACCTGAAGTAAGTTACATTATATCAATGATATTTAGAATATTTTTCTATTTTTTTTTATTTTTTTAGATCAAAACAATATTGGGTGGATTTATTATACGTGGTTATTTAGGAAAATGGACTTTATTAATCAAAAGTATTGGAATGGTAACCGAAAAGAAAGACATAGAATGAGATGTAGAATTTTCTATCTGAACATGAATATGATAAATCTAAAATTTATTAGTAGATACGCTATGCGTTTGACTAGTAAGAAAAAAAAGTACACGGTTATACTACTGCTGAAAATGTGAGATATGTTTTTGATGCAGCTCTATTTATTTTATCTATAATACTTTTCTTATTTATTGTTATCTACCTTTTTTTAATCTATATTATGTTTAGATGTGTGCAACGTCGGCCGGTCTTATTCTGGGCAAAGAAGGTCCATTTGTGCATATAGCCTGTTGTTGTGGAAACATATTTTCTTATTTATTTCCTAAATATGGAAGAAATGAGGCAAAAAAAAGAGAAATTTTGTCAGCAGCAGCTGCCGCAGGTGTCTCAGTGGCTTTTGGAGCACCTATAGGTACTCTATAAACATAATATTTATATTTTATTAATATAAAATACGGTTTATTTTATATTTGTGTGTTTAGGAGGTGTATTATTTAGTTTAGAAGAAATTAGTTATTATTTTCCATACAAGACTTTATGGCGCTCTTTTTTCTGTGCAATGGTTGGTGCTTTAGTCGTGAGATCGATTAATCCTTATGGAAATGGTCATGATATTCAGTTTTCAATTGATTATAGTGTCCCATGGGCATCATTTGAGTTGATACCATTTATTCTTCTAGGAATATTAGGTGTAAGTAAAATTCTCTTTTAAATTTTAAATAAAATTTATTCAAGAAAATAATTTTCTATGAATTTATTCTATTCTGTTTATTGTATTGAACAATTTTTTGTTTAATCTTATTTGTTTTGAATTTTAGGGTCTATGGGGTGCCTTTTTCATTAAAACAAACGTTTGGTGGTGTAGATTTAGAAAAAATACAAGATTGGGACAATATACAATTACTGAAGTAAAGAATAATTTACATACTGTCTTATTTAACATATCACATTTATTTCTTTGTTTATTTTCATTGTTTAGGTAGTCTGTTTGGCCCTAGTAACAGCTATTATCTGTTATCCAAATCCTTATACTCGTATGTCAATGCCAGAATTAATTAAAAGACTTGTGTCGCAATGTAAAGTAGAAGATTCTATCGATCTCTGGTATGTGTACTTGTATAATCTCTTCTAAAACTTGAAAATTAATTAAATAATAAAGAATTCTTTTTGTTTACTTCGTGTGTGTAAAACAAAATATTCAAATATCAACCTTCTTTTAAAGAAAATTAGTCAATATTCGCTCATCTTTTGAGAATCTTTTCTGTCTAGTTTATTGCAGTAAAATATCAAATGTAACCATGTAGTCCTGTTCATTTCTTTATACGATAAAATGATTAGTTTTAACCGTTTAATTCTTTTTCTTTTTAGCGATTATTCACGTGAACCAATTAGTAGTGCCAAAATTAAAGTGCCCGCGGCGCTTGCTGGCGAAGGTGTTCATCGTGCAATGTGGGAATTATTTTTTGCTTTAATCGTTCAAATCCTTCTCGTTACATTTACCATTGGTGTTAAAGTACCAGCTGGTCTCATCATTCCATCCATGTCTATTGGAGCGATTACTGGTCGAATTATTGGCGTTATTACCGAACAACTGGCATTACAAAATCCAAATTTTATTTTATTTAAACACGAGTGTAATAAAGCCGATGAAAATTGTGTTACTCCAGGATTATACGCTATTGTAGGCGCATGTGCATTCCTGGGCGGAGTTAGCAAAATGACAGGTTTGTGTATAGTTGAAAATAATAAGATTTTTTTTTCTTTTGAATACTTTAATTAACCTATTTAATAAGGTAATTATTTAAAAACATTTTCCGAGTTTTAAGTTAACAAATGTAACGCATTAATTTAAGTTCTATTTTTTTATCTTTTAAAATTAATCAGTTAGACTGCCAAAATGACTTTAGAGTTTCTAACAAAACAAAAATAACGTGTTTAGAAAGAAAAGTCAATGTTTATGCGCATTATCGAAGATTAGAAGAAGAACAAGGAAAACTGAGACTAATAACTCTTCTGAACCAATTCGATATTTAGCGCGTTAACCCTTTATAGTCGACTATTTATAAAATACAGCGAAAAATGCTACCATATGAAAAAATCCGACTGAAAAGGGTTAATTTTCAACGGCAAATAAGATGTTAAATATCAAACGCATTTAACGGTCGTTTGTGACGCACGCTATGAAAAATGATGCGGTAAAATTATTCAAATTTTTGAATAATGAAGAATTTATAATGTGTCTATTATTTCAGTATTCATAAAATTAAAGAATTAACATGTTTGCCTATTTTCTTAACGCATTGTAACAAATGTTAGATCTCGATGACTGTTTATATGTGATTGTTTTTTGTTTAGTATCATTGGTTGTTATTATGTTTGAGTTAACTGGTGGTTTAACGTATATCGTCCCATTGATGGCTGCCGCTATGACGGCGAAGTGGATCGGTGATGGATTTATTCGTGGTGGAATTTATGATGCACACATAGAATTAAATGGTTACCCATTTCTGGATAATAAAGAAGAATTTAATTTTACAACAACAGCTAATGATGTTATGAGACCAAGGTAAAATGCTTTATATATTTTTTGCTCTTATGTTACTCTATACCACTGACTTAGCTTAGCAGTAATGTGAGCAATGATAACCACTCTCCTATGAAACACTCACTGGCACGTTTGAATTGTTATATAGACTTTAGAATAAATTCTGAGTTTGCACCGACATTATTATCAAAACATAAACGCTTTCTGTAGATTGCAGATTGATATCCAATTTTTTCTGTATTTCTATTAATCTACTACGTACTTGTCTAATTTTAGACCAGAACAATCGTCATCGTTAGCTTATTTAACTCAAAATGGCATGACATTTTCTGAAGTTGATTCTATCTTGAAACATACCACTCATACATCATATCCAGTTGTTGTTTCAAAAGATCAACCTTATATTGTTGGTCAAATACAAAGACGAGATCTTCAAATACTTCTAAGTATGTATCGTTCGTTTATTTACTCTACTGATCATATAGAAAGGGTGTGTGTGTGTGTGTTTTTTTTCGACATTGAACTATTCTCTTATAATGTTCATCTTAAGATCGTTTTAAAATAAAAATTTGGCCTACTAACTACAATTATTATCATCATGGTCCATCAACTGCTACAACAACAGGTTTTCTTTTTTTTATAAAGATAAAATACCCTTCCATTAGTTGCTTATTGTATAATTTTATATGTTATTTGTGATAGATTGGTTTAAATTAGAACTATTCACTCTATTTGATCTTTAAAATTTATTATTTTTATTTTCTTTACTTTAGAATCACAAAAGACTCAACATTTTATTGCTTCATCTTATTATATTCAATTTACCGCACCATCAGATTCATCAACATCTCCAAATTTAGATTCAGATTTACAAGATGAACAACGATTAACCACATCACAACCAGAAATAATTCGAGTGGGAAATTTATTAGATCAAGTATAAATAAACGAATATAAAAAAATAACAACAACTCTTGAATATTTTACATAAAACTAATATTTATTCTAGGCTCCAATCATAATCACTGATCAAACACCTATGGAAACTGTTATTGATATGTTTAGAAAATTAGGTTTGAGACAAGCATTTATTACACACAATGGGTAAGAATTTTCTCATATTCTATTGTCTAATTAATATTAGATTTTTTTTTTTTTTTGACTTATTTTAGTCGTTTACGTGGTATAATAACAAAGAAAGATGTATTACGTCATATGCAACAGATGGCTAGTCACAGCCCAGATGCGTTTTATGATACTTAATATTTGTCATGTATTTTATCTTATCTTTACAGTGTAAACTTCTTGATTGTTCCATGTTAAACAGTCTTATCTTTTCTCATTCATTTATATATTTTTGACTGCGCACAATTTTTTTTTCTTCTTTTCTTCTTCTAATATCTACTTATTATTGTACAGTTTTCTTCCACATGTATCATAAATGTTGTTTGTTTGTGTGTATATTATGATGTCTTCTTTTTGTGTTTGTGTTTGTGTGACAAGTAAACAAAATGATTCCAACGATTGAGTAGCTAAACGTAAAAGAGGAAGAGAGTAAAAAAAGAGAGAAAGAGAGAGAGAGAAAAGGAGTATCTACAAAACAAAAAAAAAAAACATTTTGCATTCGTTTTTATTTATTTATTTTTTGCGTTCATTCAATCTAGTGTTCTTTTCTCTTACTGTATTACAGTGCTTAGTGTAACCCGTTTTTGTGTTTTGTTTTAACGAAAAAAGGGAAAAGATGAAATATGTAATAAATCTGTTTCTAAAAGAATGATTTGTGAGTAGTTAATGTGATTAACTTTACAATAAAAGGACACGACAATCATTAGTAATTAGTTTAGTAGTTCTAAAGTTATCGTTGAAGACAAATGAAATAAGACACGGTACACGAATTTGTTAGATTCAAATGTACTTAACGTTGATGTTAATGTTGAAAAAAAGGACTATTTGATAATATTTGTCAGATATCTTTGAAGCATAAAGATCGATATCGTAAAGTTGTCTGCATATTAATTGGTTTAACACAAAATATCCCAATAAATAAATAAACTAGTGAAACTGGATGAAGATTTTAAGTCTTATTTTCACATTAAACTTTATAAACTTTTTTTATTAATAGAATCATTTTATTTTATTGTTTTTGTATTTTATTTTGCAGTAAAATTGTATTTAGTCATATATTTTATTGTAATCATAGAAGAAACAAAATCATCTCTCATTTGGCATCCATGTAACAGAAATACCAAACTAACCATCTTGTAGCTCGTGAAAAAGTTTAGCGTTGATTTATACTTTAAATTTTTTGATGTCAAAACTTGTCGCTGAATAGAAGTAATCCTTCAATTTTGAGGCAATCTTTTCGTTAGAAATTTTGTTTTACTTAAACTTTTTCATCCTCCGTGTTTCGTAGTTCCCGTAAAACTCTTATAACTTGGCCAAAAATGAAGCGTTTGAATTCAGATTTATTTTGTTTTATTCAGAAATGGATTACTCTATCAAAGCGCATAGTGGAGACGTATATCGAGAGGTTTTTTCGCTAAGGTATCGCGATTAGAAATGATATTTTTTATGATTCGATAAGCTTTAAAGCTAGCGAGACGCTACGTTCGACCACTACATAAAACTTTATCGCGATAAACGGCGCTAAATAAAGATATCGTTCTCTGCCCTAATCCAGATAAAGGACATTATTATCAGGATAAAACCTATTATTGTGACTCAGCTGACAAATAATTCTTGGTCTCCAAGTGATATTTTTTCAGACATTTTTCTCTCCTATAGGCAGTCTTTTTCATCTATTTGGCATCACTCACCATATCTAACTTTAGCTTGGTCGAAAAGGCAGAAATCGTACTGTTTTTCGATCTCTAATTAAGTACAGAAAACATCTTCTGTACAGCAAGATATAGCAATGAGAAAAATATTATAATTTCTAACTTGTCGACCAAGTTAAAGTTATATATGGAGGAAGACGTCGTATAGGTGAAGAAAATCACCTGTAGAAGAAGACAGATCCAACAGATCAATCTTAAACTCTGTTATCTACATTCATCTCATATTAACTTAGCATGAAACTTGATGGATCATATCTTACCGGTCTTTTCTTTGAAGAGTGACATGGACAACTTTCTTTGTCCAACAAAATTGAGCGATCATACAGTTGGATTCTTTAAGTGTTTTCATATTACACTTTAGTTTTAACTGAACAAAACAAGTGTATTTTGTGCAGTTTTTCTCCTCTTTCGATACATATACTTTAGAATTTTAAACCAAACAGCGGAAAAAAGGAAATGATGTACAAAACAGGCATTTTTCTCGATCCTTTCCCGTACTTTTTTGTAATACTTCTCGTAAAAAATTCATATTTTCATGAGGAAAGATTTTTGTTTTCTAAATCGTGCTCATTCGATTGTCCGCAAAAAAAATCGCTTCCTTTTTTTTACTCGAAAGAACTAAAAAATTAAGACAACGGAGCACCTAAATAGCATTTATTCTAAACGCTATTTTATGCTCCTACATCCTAGTTTTGTGAACCTTCACTTCTTCATTCTCTTCATAGACCTCAGCAAAGAAGAGGAAGGAATGCGGTAGATAGATCGCAGTTCTCTTCCATTTCCATTATCGGTACTGCAGATTGATCACCCACTCATACTCACACTCCACACACACCACAGTTGGGACTGTGATCGATCTGTAGAAGAATCCCATTATCCAGCTCTTTCAGGCGGCGGTTAGTTCAGTCTTGAACTTCTCCACAGCCAGCGTGAAATGTTGGCTTAGCTGTTCGATATTGTAAAGAAACGGAAAAAAGAGGAAAATGTTAATAAAAATAGCAAGTTTTCGTATATCTTAACAGTAATAAATTCTGTTATCTTTTCCACCTGAAAAATTCGAGCAAGGAAGCAATATGGGACTATAGTATAAGCTCTACGTTTTATTCAAAGTTTGACTAGTTGTAATATATAACAACGGTCACAAAATTATTTATTTAATATATTTATTCGATAGAAAAATTTCCTTTTTTTCAATTTTCACTTTTGCGTGATTCTGACACGTTTTGTGGAACACAACTTTTGAAGTCCATCACTTACAGAGTACGGGAAAGACTTATTTTGTGGCTAAAACATTCTTCGTTGAAATGACACGTAGGAAAAGTTCAACTGATGGCTCGCTTAAGAGATGTACTGTTGTTGAAATAAGTCACATTTTTGTAAGATGTGGCAAAGAAAAATGTTTAAGTTACGGAAATCGGTTAGCAAAACTACGTATCGATATATATCGGGATATAATTTTATGGCCATATGTCGAGGGGAAAGCTATATTTCTAACTCTAAATAAGATTCTGTAGTTATCTCAGAATAAAGTATATTTACGACATTCTTGCAATAATACGTTTAATCACATAAACATTAGAAATAAAGGAATACTTTATTTTATGGCGATAAATATTAGAAATATTACGATAAAATTCTTAATTGGAAGAATATTTTATTCCGATAGAATTCATTTAATGTTCTGTCTCGACAATTCTGAAGTTCGCCACGATATTTTCTTGACCATCTAAAGTTATTGCCTCAAATCCCGATATTTTGCTGAATAAATACCTCATGGAATACATTTTCGAATTCTCACAATGCGGCAAGAACCAGCAGGAAAAATTGTCCTTGTTTGGTCTGTTATCAGAAATTCAATTCATGTACCACGCCATCAACTTTAGAAAATGTTTCTTACAGACCATGAGAAAGAGCACAGTCGATACCACAGAAAAAGGTTTTGGGGGATTTCTAGTTAATGTTAAGGTTAGGAGAAATTTCTTTTTTATTGAATGAGAGATAATTTTATAGACTTGGTCGCTTTGTCGTCTTTTAAAGTTTCGTCGTCTAGGTTTTTTTCTGTTGACAATAAATCAAAACTTCGTACATGTTCTAATAGAGAATTTCATGGTGCGTCTTTTAAAATTAACTCTCGGAATTTACAGGAAAAAGAGGAAAATAGAAAATACGGAGAATATCATTTAATTTATGATACACCAGTAATTAGTTTTTCTTTTCGTAAAAATACATAAGTTTCTGTGTAGTTATTACTGCATTTATTTTCTACCAAATAATAAAGTCGTTTATTTTTCTCTTTTCTGTCGTTGCTATCATTTGGTGATATTATTATGAGCAGCATTTTTGTATCCGGGATTAAACATCATGAATAATTCAGAAATAAAAGAATTGTTAGATTCGACCCACTGAAGCAACCTTCGCGGAATAAAGATTCTACGGAGTAACGGAGCGGAGGCCTTGGTAGAAATCCAACAGACGATGTTCGGAGAACGAGATAGTTGTCTGCAAGTGCCGGTAATAAACTTCGCTCTTGGTCGTCTGTTTGATCACTTAGTGTCGTTGTGACGTCCATGTACATGTTCTAACAATTCTTTTATTTCTGAATTATTCATGATGTTCTATCTCGAATTCAAAAATCCGATTGATGCGATGGTTTTTGTTATAATTGTGAACAACTTGCTACCAAAGCATCATGGAAATGTAAACGGTAATTAAAAATTTATAAAAACCAAATGAATAATCACACATTAACTGCAAAAAGAATACAATTATTAGCTAAGAAAAAATTAGTTTTTTCATGGAAATTTTCGAAAGTTTTCAAGAGTTTCAGACTAATTTCGAAATGCTACTGGTAAGATCACACCAGCTTCGTGATCAGAATCAAAAATTACATATAGACTTCACGGCTTGTTCAAACGTCACGGCGTTACGTTTTTGACGCACTAAACTTCGGTTATCTCGGAAACTAAAGTAGCTAGAAAGTTCGTTCAAACGTCGATCAACGCAGTTCATCATGCTCTACTTATGGTGTGAAAACGAAGTTTTTTGGATGTTGTATTGGGCTTTAAGAAGGATTTTAACGCCGCGTCACGGCGTTACGAAAAAGGACCCTTTTTTTCGAGCGCTCTTGGGAATTCTTTAATTTCCTGTGGACTTAATTATGTGAAAAGGAAGCTGCTAGAGCAAAATTTATAGAGTAATTGGCGGGCTATCCGATGGTAAAAGAAATTTCTTCTAGCACTTTTCGCTAGGGAGAAACATGCAAAATAAAAACGTCACGCCGTTACGCACTTTTTTGTCAAGCATATTTGAGGCAGTTAACCCGATGGTAAAGTTTTGATTTTCACAGCTTCCTGTGTTCTTTGTATATTTGATCGATCTGCGCAAAAATCAAATTGCTGTATCAAAATTAGAGCTCAAAAACTGGAC